CCCCCCCCTCTGCCTCTTTCTTTCCCTTTTGACTTCCCCTCCAATGCAGCAGCGTCGACAAATCGCACCAGGACAGAGTGGAAAGCCACATTGTACACAGAGCAGAGTTTGGCAGACTCCAAATTAGAGACTCAGGAAGGTTGGTTATGATAAGAGGATCAGGCTGAGTAATGGGTACAAGGGATGATCATCTATTTCCCAGTCTGACGATACAGGGGGGAGAGGAAAAAAGAGGCACAGAGGCATGAAGGGGGTTTGCACATCCCATCTGCAAAACATAGGATTAGGGGAGACAATAGGTAAATCCATTGATGAATTCAGACAGAAACGTTCAGACAAATGCATGCACACAGTGACATGCTTTACATGGGAAAGCAGGACACACAGCTATACATACAGTATAAGGAGCCCACACACACATCAGCAAGATAACCTTGTGTTGGTAAAAAATACTTTTAGTCAGATTAAATGCCCACACTCTTGTTTATTTACCTCCTCCTGAGAGATGAGGGGATGGCGGTTATGTGTAATTGAAATATGCTGTTCTAGGCCTAGAGGAACGGCATTGTTCACCATGTGTGGCATAATATTTACTGGCTCAAATTCAGGGAATCCATTTTAATACAGGACTATCTACTCACTGAACAAACCGAATGCCCCCAGCGGCCACAGTGCATTGAGTAAAGAGCACCTCTTGGCACAGACTCCAAATCCATCGCCCCCAGTGTCAGAGCGGTTCAAAAAACATGAAGTGGAGAACTGCCGGGGACTTGTGCTGTGCAAAGTGCTGCATTTAAACCTCAACCACTGGTGAAATGTAGCATTTAACCATGAAATATGTTGTGGTTTGAGCCCTGGTTTTTCCTATTATAGGTCATTTAGCTAGACACTGAACTCCAATTGTTTCCAACGGCCAAACTAGGAAATGACAGTAATGTTATATAGCAATATGAACATATAAGCTCAAAAAGTGCAACATAAATGCATCTAATTTGTTTGTTTGTGGTTTCTTTCGTGGGCAACAGTTGGTTGCATATAGCTGTAAGATATGTGGTTTGAACACCAGGCCTACAGTCAACAGTCAATGTGTCATTGAACATTATTCTAAACCCCCAACAGCTCCTGATGGCATGGCTGATGACGTGTGAATGTATATATGTTATTCTCTCTGAGCAGCCTCTGCCTCGGTATGAATGTGTTTGAAAGGGTGAATTCTGACTTGTACATGTAAAGGTACTTTGAGGGGGCCACTTTCTATCTCTGGAAACACAGAAAAAACCTAATACTTGGTCAGTGACAATGGGAAATGTGTTCTATTCTCTATAAAGTAAATAATACAGAGAATATGTTATGAGAGAAAGACAAGAGGGGGTGGGAGGATTGTGCCACAGCCAGAAACTGTAAATGTTTCAGCACCATGGACAGAGACAGAAGGCAATAGACTGAAATGTAATCAAAGAAATATATATATTATGTATAATCGACTCTAGTATTGCCACAGCAAATGCCCCGATGTTTGAGTTCTTATATAAGTACGCAATTAATTTACAACCGCACAATGATTTGTTTCCATTTTTCTTCTAATAAGGTAACACAGTAAGAAAAGCGGAAAATGATTACTCCAGATTGCCTAAGATGACAATTATTCCCAATTTCAAAGAGCGACACCTTCAAGAGGTAAATGTTACAGTGTCGCTTGACATTTCAGACAAAAGCTTGCCACCAACCGTGAGCAGAAACGGATAAACATTGCATTCAAAATAAATGCCACCAATTGCCTGGATTGCTTAGCTCAAACGCGGCCCAATGGACTTCCCTAAAGTCATAACGATTGGCAGTATCGAAACAAGAAGCCCTTTTCTTCTTTGCTGCCATCAATTAAGGACTTAATTTCACTAAAGTCAGACGGTGACTGCAGTCTAATTTCTCTATCAGAAATGTCATTACCGAGCTGTTTGAACAGTTAATCATTTCAGAGAATGAAAGCTGCTACTGCCTTTCAGTCTTCATACGACACTATCCGTCAGTTTAAAAAAAGGAACGGTCAAATGAAAGAAATGAACAGACTGCTAACATTACTGAAAGCCAGAATATAGTGAGGAATATTGGTTGAATACAACAACAAAAAGAACAAAGGGGGCTTTAGTTTGATATATTTAAACGCTTTAACAAGGACACTTACTGTATATACAACATTGTCAAATATCTAAATGTCCTTACAAAGTGGAACATGTCATTTTTAAATGGCCAGGGGGTGATTGATTTCAATATATTATAGCTTAAAACTGATAGCAGTGAGAGTTCATCCTGTAGAATGAGAGCGACTGAGCCTTGCTCACAGACAGGAGTTGAAACTAATCTATTGATTATAGTGCGCAATGTTCCAGTTGGAGGTGAAATTAGTTATTTTCAGAAGGGGTGCTAAAGGAGTCAAAAGAAGGAGAAAAGAAGGAAACAATACCTGAGAACAACAGGAGATCCAGGTGCACCGCACACATAAATAACACCTCACCAAGCAACCAAGCTTGGAGCGAAGTGTGTGTGCAACTACTTGTGTGCGGTTCTGCATGTGCTATGTGAGTGAATGAGAACAAAGAGACAAAAAGGAAAGAGATTGTTACAAATAGGCGACTGAGGTGGTGCTAGTCGATGAAGTGCCTTCTCCCTGGTGGCCCGGGAGGCGTGGGTGTAATAGATTAAAGTAGAGTCTCGGGGCTCATCCCACGGCTAACCCTGTCCTATTAAGAGTGGCAGTGTGAGTCTTTCACAGTCACTCCACTCCGCTGCAGTGTGGACAGGGCTGCTGCCAAGCCTCTCCATGGCACTCGACTGTTGTGAGCACTGGGGGGATGGAGATGTTCGGAGGCAGCTAAGGACACAAACCGATGTGACTGATGGCAGCACAATAAAGTGAGCATCTCCTCTCCACAGTGCTAAGACCCCCCCGGTATTAAGAGGGACATCGAATCGCTCTCTGGGGCATGTAAGCTTTTCTTTGGCGATGATAAGCTCATTGTGCACTGTGGCCAGTTGACTGCTGATGGCGCAATGGTGGCTGGAGGAGTTTAGCATTCTTCTGCATGGCAGGGTTTCCCAGAACCGTCAGTCAAAGACAGC